CGAAGAAAACGTCAATCGTATAATTTGAATTACATTAAACATTTTTATGAAACCTCAAACTTATGATTAACTTGATTTGTCCAAGCTCGATTTCTAGTGTGTTGGTCGAATCCTCAACTTCAATTTCAAGTTTCTTCTTTTTGGTTTTCAAGATTTGATGGTTTTCTTGAACCATTGAAAGGAAAGGGATTACTGATTACATTTATATGCTTTAAGTTTTGACAAAACTAAAAAGAAAGACGAGTAAAGAAAAGAAGTCAATGAGATTAGTTGATCATTAACCAATTAAAGCCAATAATGGGCTTAATTTGTTTTTCAACTTAAGCCTAATGCTGAGGCTTGTTATATTAAGAAGAGAAAATGACAGGATTTTAAGCCTATTCGAATGTAACAAATTTCAAACCATTAGACTGGAGGGAGTGGGAGGGAAACTTTCCTCATTTTTTGTGGGTCACATCACCTTTTCCCTCACTTAAACCTAAGGAATGGGTGAGAAACTTCCCTTACTATTTTTTTTTATTTTTTGAAATAAAATTAATTCTTTTTTATGATTTATTATTTTTAAATTAATAATAAACATAAAATTTAATTAAAAATAAAAATCATTTCATTAATTAAAATAAAAATTACATTAAACCGAATATTTAAATAAGTAGAAAATTAAAAAAAAACGCAAACAAAAAATCAAACAAATCATAACATAGAAAACATAATTAATATCCTAATTTGAAAAAAACCAAATACGTCACTCGGAATCATCGTCCTCGTCATCGACCTCACCGTCTTCACCATTCTCCCGATCGTCACTCTCGTTATCGGAATCTACGCTCTCGACGAACATATCAGAATCCTCGCCTGATTCGTCAAACAAATCATCGTGAGAAAACTTTATCGGCGGCTGAATATGAGTCCTTTAAACGTGCTCCACCAAATCAGCACGAAGGGCGTGATGGATGTCGCGATTGTGTAATTGTCTTCTATTTTCCCTATAATCTTGTGTACCAACGACTACTCCTTCGACATTTGGCAAAACTTCATTTTCGTTGTACCGACATATTGCTCTTCCTTCGTCTTCAAGAATCATATTATGCAATATGATACATGCATACATTACGTGCTGTAACCTTTTCACTTCATATGACCTTGCCTCGGCTGCTAGTACTTGCCAACGTCTCTTAAGTACACCAAATGTTCGCTCCACATCCTTCCTAGCTGACTCTTGCGCCTCTTTAAACTTTTTCCTTTTCGGGTCGTTAGGACATGAAAACGATTTCACAAAAACAGACAAAGGGAGGATATATACCGTCAGTAAGATAGTATCCACGCTTATATGCTACCCCATTTGCTTGAAAATGTACATCGTGCGACTTTCCAAGGTAGATATCGTTGAATACCGGCTACTGGTCTAGCACATTGATGTCATTGTTTGCACCAGCTGGATCAAAGAATGCATGTCATATCCAAAGATCATGTGATGCAATAGCCTCTAGAACGATCGTCGGCTCTTTGTGGCCGCCTCTCATGTACTGACCACGCCATGCGTTGGGGCATAATGACCAACTCCAATGCATGCAATCGATACTACCAAGCATTCCAGGGAATCTATGCTTGCCTTCATGCACCGTGTACAATTGGTGGATATCATTCATAGTTGGTTTGCGCAAATATCGTTGCCCATAAACCAAACATATCGCTTTGCAGAACTTGTACACACACTCTTGCACGGTACGCTCTGACATTCTAAAATACTCGTCCCATCTGTCTGCGCCCATGCCGTATGCTAACTGACGAATTGGAGTCGTGCATTTTTGAATTGGAGAGAAACCTTTTATCCGTCTCGCATCCATTTTCCATTGGAAATATGGAAAACGGCCTTCCAAATCGCCAACATTACGTAAAATAGTTCCTTCCTCATCCGGAACTGACGTTGAAACTTTACAGCGTAGATGGTGTCGTCTGCGAAGTAGTCCTTTATAAGACGATCGTGTCCGGCTTCGCGATTTCTACGCAACCGCGACTTTCTTGGTTTAGATTGTGCACACGATGTTTCGCCTAGTCGGTTTTGAAAGTATGAAAACCGTTTTCGCCATGACGGAATCGATAAACTTAGCCTCCTCTAGAGCCGTCGAATTGAATGATGAAGATGATGACATTTTGATTAATCAATTTTTTGGAAAGAATAAGAAGGTATGGGTTAAAAAAATGGTTGGATGTTGTTGTATTTATAGTGTGATAAAAGAAAATAATATATATATATATATATAATATATATATATATATATATATATATATATATATATAACCTTTATGTAGTCGTTAGAATATAAAAAAAAATTACACAGCCAATAGGATGAGGAGTGAGAACGCGGCATCCCCACTCCCACCCTCCTCCCCGCGCCACCTTCCCCGAACCGACGATGCGGTTTTCCGCCGTGCGGGACTCTTCCCGCGCCTTCCCTGCATACGATACCGTCCGGCCTTAGGGACACTTCCCCTCCTTCTCTTGGTACTGCATCCGCCTCTAGTGTGGTCAAACATCTGAATGTCTGAGTTGAATGATAAAAATGATCATTTTATTTTTTTTGAACTATTTTCTTCAAGAACATCAAATTTAAGCAAAAAAATAAAATTAAAAAAAATGTTTCAACAAAAAAACATCGGATTTCAGCAAATTTTGGCAAAAAAAACATCCGATTTCTACAATTTCATAAACAAAATACAAGATTTCAGAAAAAAATAAAAAATAAAAAAAATACAAATTTCAACAAAAACCTTCTGATTTTAGAAGTATTCCAACAAAATCATACTCCTCCTTCTGTCACATATTTATTGTCCATTATTGACATTTGAAGTATATATTTTTCAATTTTAATCTTAAATGTTTTTAGTTGTGTTATATATTACTTGATGAAACTTATAACAATGAAAAAATATTTAAAATACAATCCATTTATATATTTTAAATCAAGTATTATATATCAAAAAACAAAAATATTTAATGTCAAAGTTTAATAAAAACACTTCAAAATTCAAAAATAAACAATAAATATAGAAATGAGAAAGTATTTTATAACCAATTTCAACAAAGTATTTAAACAAACATTAAAAGGCTACCAAACAACCAATCAATTTGTATTCAAATACCTTTTTTTTTAAATATACAATAGCCTCATAGTTACACTTCATTCGTGACATGTTGTAAACTTAAAGGGTTATAGAAATTGACTTATTAATGTAATTATCTTTTCATTTTGTTCACATTTGGGTAATTTTTTTTACTCATCTAGGTAACAAACTTTTTGGAAGTGTTCACATATGATCATTTTGATCAGCTGTAACAGGTTACATCCGATCATAATGGTATATGTGAACACTTTCATGAATGATAAAAATAAATATTTTACCATCCTTAACTATTTTCATGAAAAACATCAAATAATACAATAACGGACTAATATTATAAATGCCCTAAATTTTTAACGCGTAGTTGGAAAAAGCCCTGATATTTTTTTTATTATTACTTTGTCCATAACTTTCTCGCAGAATTATCACTCTAGCCCACTTAACAAGTTTCATGGTTAACTTGGTTAACTTTTTTGCAAAATCAGTCCTAAAATGTTCAAATTTGGTCCCTGATGTTTGCAAAAAATTACACCATATGATTTTCTAACTTTATTTTTCGTTTTTGTATACTTTATTTATTTTCGGGTTTTTTTATAAATATATACATTTATTATTTTTTTTATATATACTTTATTTATTTTCATTTTTTTTTAACTTTTTAACAATTTGATTATTTTTACCTTTTGTTTTCTATTTTTTAGTGTATATATAGAGTATATTAGAGTTTTTTTTTTTTTTTCATTTTTTCTTTTCGTATTATATTTTTAATTTTTTTCATCTTTTTATTTATTTTTTTTCTTATTTGTTTTCAAATTATTTGTTTTTTTTGTATTTTTAACTTTTTTATTGACTTTTTTCGAAAAATGTAAAATGTATTAATATATTAGATTATATTACAATTTTGATAATTTATAGTTTTTGTAATTTTTTATTTATTTTTTTTCAAGTAAATAAAATAGTTATGCTTATATTTGTAATTTCGGTCCAACTTATTTTCTTTTTATTCTTTTTTCTTTAGTGTTATTATATTTATATTACGAAAAAATGAAAATAAAAAATAATTAGCTTGTTTATTGAGAATTAGTTTTTCAATGTGTTGTATAACTTGCAAATTAAATCATATTTCTATATATGATATCAATAGTTTAAATTCAAGATAATATTTTTCAATTTGATAATAGACTAAAAGAAAGAACAAAAAATATAATAATAGTCGGTCTATATAAAAAAAAACTTGTTATAGTAATTTAAATTAAATTCAAGTTCGTTTACTTGAATCAAAATAAATAAAAACATTAGAAAAACCATAAATAACTAAAATAGAAAACAAAAGGTAAAAAAAAAACAAATAAACAAATTGTTGAAAAATAAAGTTAAAAAATGAAAATAAATAAAGTATATAAAAAAGAAATAAAAAATGTATATATATTTATAAAAAAAACCGAAAATAAATAAAGTTTACAAAAAACGAAAAATAAACTTAAAAAACCATGTGATGTAATTTTTGCAAACACCAGGGACCAAATTTGAACTTTTTAGGACTGATTTTGTTAAAAAATTAACCAAGTTAACCATGAAACTTGTTAAGTGAGCTAGAGCGATAATTCTACGAGAAAGTTGTGGCCAGAGCAATAATAAAAAAATATTAGAGTTTTTTCCAATTACGCGTTAAAAATTTAGGGTTTTTATAATATTAAAAATTTAGGGCTTTTATAATATTAGTCATACAATAATCTAAATCTGTTGCAAATTTAGGGCTTTTATAATATTTGTCATACAATAGTTCCACTTCATTCATGAAGTGTTGCAAATTGTAAGGGTTATATAACACCACCAAAATATCTCGTATGAAAGGTGAAGAAGAAAACAACCTTATACCAATTCTCAACAATCCTTTACATACAATGAATGTCCTAAACACCACATCATGATATGTCATATGTACATACTTCTTCAAACTTTTAACCCTCACTAAACAGTAAACATAAAATTACTCCTCCCTCCATTGTCATTTGTCACTTAGATTTTTATTTTAATCTACTTGTGGGCCCGCAAATCTCACATCCCCAGCACGTGCCACAACAACATTTTCATTACCAAAAAGTGATTTAATAAATGATGGAGTTTTCAATGGCCGCCTCCCACTCATTCTTGGATACACATCTTCAAGAAAATAGTACGCATGCCCCGCCACCATCCCCTGCCACGTCACCACTTATTAATCATTTATTTTTCGCAAGGGTATTTTAGTCTTTTCAATTAAAAGAACCACTTACAAGTAAATCTGCCCACGCACTTGCGCCAACAAGCACAGAGAACCCCAACAAAACCTATAGTCAATATAATAAATAAACAAATAAATGAAAGTACACTAAATATAAATTATCAAAAAAAAAAAAAAAAAAAATACACTAACCCATGGGAGATAAGCTGCAGTGAAAGTAAAAAGACCCAAGAAACTCATATGAATAAATGGATTTCTCTTGCTCCATACATAAACCTATAAATAAAAATAGGATGATATAAATATAAATATAAATTTTTTTTTTAATGAAAGTAAGTTGCTATTTCTTGTAAACAACATACCATCATAAATGTCAATGAATTGCTAAGGAAAATGATTTTGGCAAAAGATTCAGAGACGTAAGGAATCATTCCTCCAACAAGTACAATACTCGTTAAGACTGTAGCACCAAATAAGAGCATATAAAAGAAATCCGCAGTTCTTCCTCTGAATGAATTTTCTTCTAGAAGCTTGCAGTATCGAGCGAGAAAGAACATGTGAAAAAGAAAGTCCAGATCTGTAACACGAAGATGTTATGTTATTACCATGTTAGGGATACAATCATACAAATATACAATGCGATTATCATGTATGTGTAAGGTGTTTACCCATCTTTCGAAAGTAGAGAAAATTAGTGATAAGTCGCCAGATTTGGAATTGATTAACGACAAGCCTCGGGTTCAAATACAGGTTGTATGGTGAAATGATCTGCAAAAACGTTTCAAAAAAAAAAATTGGGGATCAAATGATCAATCGCCTTTCAAGCGTTTTGTGGAATCAATTCGTTTAATTTAATGTATATGCGCGCTAACATCGACGCGATTCATTCTTTTGTGAAATCGAACAAGCTAATTGGAGAATAAAGATACCTAACGCTCAAATTGATAACCCGAATAGAACACCAAACAGTTAAATGATCGAAACCCTTCGATTAAAGATAACATTAGGGGAATACCTCAAGGGAGCAACCAACTGTGGTAAGAACAGCAGCTGTGAGATAAGAACGAGTTATGACAGGCATCTGTTTGTACCATTCTTCCACAACTTGTGCCATTTCTCTTTAATCGAACAACCCTAACCCTAATTTTTCAAGAATCAACGCTCCAAATAGCTTGATCAGCTTCAAGGTTTTATAATCAGCAATACCTAAACAGGGGGAAGTCGAAGAATTTAGAGAGAAATGGATTTGGGAGTGTTACAAGCAGATATGCACTAAAGGAAGTGTCTGTTCTAATCTTCAAAGGAGCCTATTGTAATTTTGTGTATGGAAAGTGGAAACACGATGTTTAAGAGCGCGTGTACGACACATTCCGGAGTTAATAATGTTTTTTTTTTTTTTTAATCCTCGGACTTTTCTTTCGTCTCATATGCCACAACTATGGTTGTTGGGTTGCTTCCTAGTTCCTACATTGTATGCTTCGTTGGTTTTCATAAAATTGTTTCGATTTTTTTTTTTAACAATAATTAACAATTAATAACATATAAGCTAATATTTATGTATCACATAACCAATATTGGATATACTTGAAAAATACAAAAAAAATTTGAGAAGGTACATAAGAGAATTGCATTTTATAGAAGATTATAAAATACACCAAAATATGTATGAAGTGAAGGAATTTATGTGGGGGAAGACGTAGTAAAAAGGTAACAAGTTTTAACTTATGTTTTCAAAATATCATTATCACTCCTATTAATCCATTCTCCCCTATATATTAAAAGAGGTAATTTGTTACATCACCTTCAACAATGACACATATTGATTGACTTTCTTTAATAGTTTCTCACCCTTTGATCAATTTGTTGATGTCATCCTCAAAAAAAATAAATAAATAAATAAATAAATCCAACGCCTTTTCTTTTGAAAAATGTGTACGCGATACACGATTCATCTTTAATTTAAAATCCTAATCTCCTCTATACACAATGCAACCACCGTCAAATCACATCTCCTATGTGTCTATTGATTCTTCGATAGCCATTTCTTACGGCCACCCTCTTTATTTCTTCCTAGCTAATTGCAAAGGACTTGATTCCAAGAATCATGAGGTATGTTTTCATGTTTTCAATTCAAGATTATTGAATGTCGAAAGTTAGAATCTTTAACCAATTCAAATATGCCGAAAACCACTTTTTCGATCTGGGCTCATTCAAATCGGAGTAAATTATGCATCGAATTGCTTTCGATTTTGCTATTGAAACACAATTATCAGGTGTTTAACCAACTGATTATCTAAATTTGATAATGTGATGCTACAAGTGCATTGCCAAACTATAACAGACGGATTACGTCAAACAATCACCTTCAACTCAAGAACTCATGCATGGATAGATGAGAGTATCCAAACTCTCATTTTTATAGGGGTGAGCAAACCCAAACCAAGAAACCGACTAAAGCCGATGAAACCGAAACCGAAAAAACCGAAACCGAAGCAAACCCGACGGTTAGGGTTTGAATTTTTTAAAAATCGAAAAATCGGGTTCGGTTTCGATTTTACCCAGAAACCGACCCATACTTGATTGTGTTTTGGTTGTAATAGACTATTTCAGGCGTGGTTGTAGCTTGTAATAGACTATTTGTTGTGAGACTCATGTTTTTTGAAGTATTTAACTTAAATTTGGTGTTTTTTGAAGTATTTAACTTGTTGCTTCATTTATGGAAAAATGGGTTAAAAACCAAAACCCATGGGTTTAAACCCAGAACCCGTGAGTGTATGGGTTGAACCCAAGAAACCGAAAAACCGAAAAACCGCCCAAACCGACCTTAGAACCTGAGAAACCGAACCGACTAGAAACCGATCCTATTGGGTTCTGAAAACCAGAAACCGACCATTTATAGGTTGGGTTGGGTTTGGGTCCAAAACCGACCTATGCACAACCCTACATTTTTATGACTCTTCTAACTCAAAGACATCAGAAATTGACACTCACATGGTTTGGAGTAACCATACTCACAAAAACCAAGATTATGGCACAAAATCTTATAATATCAAGACCAAACCAGATCTAACATGAATAAGCATCAAGATAAAAACTTTATACCTTATGGATATGGATGAGAGGATGCAAATCCCGGATCTACACTGATTTGAGCTCCTAAGTGGTTCTACAATACTCCTTTTCCTTCAAAGGTGAACACAAAACACCCCAAAAGCTCAAAACTCATAAATGGTGGCTAGGGTTTCAAGGAGGTCGTTTGGGGTGGATGGAGGCTGATCATGGGGAGGATCACAAGAAGTTAGAGCCAGTAAATAGGCCTCACAACCTTAGGTTTAGGGTTTTGATTTGCTACGGCTACGTTAAGCATAGCCTAACCTACACTCAATGTAGGTCATTAAATCCGCGTCCAATATTCTTCACTTACGCTCAGCGTAGGGAAAAATTTCTAATTTCCATTTCAACTTCAAACAATCATAACCTCATCGTTTCAACTCCGATTCACTTTATATCTACGTGAAGGTATTGATTAGCCCCACACTTCTATCTACTTACCTTTGACTTAATGAATATTGAACTTAATCAAGGAGTCCAAATATTGTTTTTCCATTCTACCCTTTGTCTCCAAAACACAAATCAAGGGCTTAGATCACTTAACCAAAATTATCTTTCCACTAATGTATAAACTTTATTCCATTGAAGACCAAGACCCTTACATGATCAAATTACGGTCCTCAATCCTAAAATAAGACAGATCTTGAAAGTGGATGTTACAACTCTCCCCCACTTAAACTAGATTTCGTCCTCAAAATCCGCTCTTACAAATTATTCTTAAACATCCTCCGAACCCCTTGTGGGTTCTTCCAAATCCACTCCCATCCTGCACGAGCCGATGCCACCTCGAATGCCTGAACTTCAACCACATTGATAGGGATTTCCAAAACCAAACGAGTAAGCCAAACTCGAGCGGAAATTCTCAAAGGTCGAATTCACGACCTTCCGCAACACTGAGACAATGCTAAGAACAGACACTTCCCTTCAATCTCAAAAGCGAATTCAATCCTTAGCGAGATCACATGACCCTGCGAAGAGGCAACACTAACACCTCACAACTACACCACATCGAGAAGAACTAACTTACTTATCTACAAATTGAAGACTATGAAACCATGTCTGACTTCCAAATTGACAGAGCTACCCGAACCTCAACCATGTTGACCACAACTCACAAATCCGATCTGACCAAGGCTTCCCGAACCCTGCATCGTCTTACTGATAAGCCTGAAGGATGGAATCCTCAACCATCCGTTATAGCCGACTACTTCACACATGGTGCAAAAACGAATTCTAGGCAAGAGTCAAACAACATAGGCTAAAGTAGCCCATACAACAACACGACCCAAGGCCCTAATGACTCATCAACGAAAAATAGTGAACCCAACAATGACGGGTCTGAATCGACCCAAGTGAATGCTACGGGCCAAATCGTAGTCTTAAAATCACCCCTGCAACTGCCTAAACCAGCCAATGGCCTAAACCATCTCAAGTGAATGTTATGGGCCAAACCGTAGTCTTACAACACTCCTGCAACTGCCTAAACCAATCAATGGTCTAAACCATCTGAAGTGAATTCCACGAGCCACACCATTGTCTAACAACACTCCTACAACTTCCATGGGATCCTCCATGATCTTCCGAATAAAGCTACAAAGATAACAAGCATCGACTGATTCGGCACAGCCCCCTAGTATACTAAAACCCCATCAGGTGTTCGGACTGTGCCTCGAACCTCAAAGCCTTAATCAGACAATAACAGACAGGGAGGTTCTCAGCATAACCCTCGAACTGAACAAATCCCATGTCCTAACATATTTCATCACCGATGCTTCAAACCTTCCAGGTGAGATGAATACTGAAATCCGTGACATCTTCTTCCTTGATCACAAGCTGATTGTTGGATGAATTTCCTTGTATAACCTTCATTATTGATAATAACCAAACCTGTTATGACCAAATAATTCCACATCCAACAATTAGGATTGCACATGTACAAAACTTGTCGAAATATTGACGCCTCAATGAACTCTCAACAGATACAGTTGAGCCCTTCGAACTACCCTAGTTGTCGACGGTGAGTGGAATAACCAACAATAGAGAATGGATTGATAACAAATCCAATGAACCAACATGCTACAGAACAATCTTACGCGAAAATGCACATGCCGAACTCTAAAACCGATTGGAAGATTAACAACTACCCATTCATCCCTTTAGATAACAATCTTTACAGCGAACTAACCACTCCCCCAACAATATGATGTTCAACCTAAGCGAATCAAATGATTCTTGAACAAATCCTTGGCATTCCCAAAAGGGTCTACTAACTACAAAAAGATCCTCACCCAACAACTTCCGATATGAGGACATCACACGCGTCTCTGAAGTCGTGAACCTAGCGGTAACTTACTCTGTGTTCGCCATCTGATAAATCCTTGAATTCTTCATGACCATTAAGGACTCCAACGGATCCTTTGAGAAATGTAATGATGAAACTCCCTAACCACGAGCACTTCAATAGTAGACTACATTCCTTCACTTATGCAACCGTAAGCCTAAACAAAAACGTCTCGTACTTGAACCGTAAATTTCCCGACCGATTGTTCTAAAATCACAAAATTGAACAGCCCATTGATCCTTAGATCAAATACACAATTCTCCCCCACTTAGGATTCGACTCACCTCCGACTATCGTCTGCAACAATGAATCCCTAGCCCTGGCTCCACCAGATACATACCAACCTTGACTCACGGAATGCATAACACAACATAAAATGATCCTTCAGGTAATAACCAACAAATCTCATGGAAACTTTGAATCTCAGATGGAGACCTCGAAAATGTTCCCCAACATTACCGCCTCTAAGCATTAAGAATCCCATACAGATGCACAAGAAATAACTCTGACAGTCCTATCATAGCACCAAATCTCTAGCTAGCAATCATTGGACTAACCTCCATCTAGCTGAAAATTTCTCATCAAACATCTCATCGCAAGAATCAAAACGAAAATAAGAGGTTTCATTCTCATAGTGGGGACACATCATAGACAACAAAAGTTGCCGATCCAGATTCACTTATCTTGATTACCTGAAACAATCGACTAGAACATAATGTAACTGATTTCAAAGAAAGTAGACCCTTGACCTATCTTTTACAATCTCAACAATAATAACTCTCTTGTACACATCTGAAATATCTTGAGGAAACTATACCACAAGAATCTT